ATATATGACTGAAGGTTGCAATAAACACAATACTCATATAATAAGAATGGAGTGCAAAAAAATGTTAAAAGAACAAACCTAAAATTTTGACCAATCCACAGTGACAATTTAAGTAATTTTCTTCATTTTATATTTTCGTTCAGAATAAATTTTGATTTTTATGATAAAAATGAAACAAACGATATAAAGTAGCTAACATATGATAAACTCAAAAAATGTATAATATAGCAATTGTCAATAAACAAATAGACTACGACGATATAAAGTAGCTAACATATGATAAACTAAAAAATGTATAAAATAGCAATTGTCAATAACCATAAACAATAAACAAATGATAAACTCAAACTCAAATTTAAATTAATGTTAATGAAAAATAAAGTAAAATAGACTGTTCTACAATTACCATTGTTAAGTGAGAGTTATCAACTTATCAAGTATCAAATTGGTTTTTAAATTGGAAATTATATTTGGATTCTGACTATTCTTCCCAAATGGAAGGGAATGTTTAGAAGGAAAGTGTATAATTTATGTTTAAAGCACGTGTCATACATCACGTGCAATAAGTTGAATATATCCAACGTTGGACAGAGTACATGTTTTTATGCATAGTTTACAAATCAATGGTAAACGATTGAGCTAAAATACAGAGGTTCCTCATACAAAAACAAATGTACGTACCATATATGGCCGCATAAAAAGCTCCAACTTCCTTCCCGAGTTTCACTCTCATTCTTTCTTCTTCACACTTTCTCTCTCCGGCCTTCATTCTTATAGTCCCTCCCTTCCCTCGTTGCACTTCACATTCACATTCACATTCCATTGCTCATGCGCTTACATATCTAACAAACATCGATCACTGGCACACACAGCTTACGGCAATCAACAATGGCAGGGGGTCAGACAATGAGCTGGGAGGATCTCAAGAAGGAGAACGTCGATCTTGTATGATCTCCCTCTTCTCTAATCCTTAAATTACGAACGATATCCGAACCCTAGATGTTCAATTGATCGCGATTCGATTCTATTACGATTTTCGAATTTGAATCGACGATTCAGGATAATCGTAGTTTTGTGATTTTATGTGGTTACGTTTTGCATGACGATTAATTGATCTGATGATTTACAATGACGTTGATTTCTGCAGGAGACTGTTCCCATTGAAGAGGTTTTTGAAACACTGAAATGCAGCAGAGAGGGATTATCGAGTGAAGAAGGGAATAAGAGGCTTCAAATCTTTGGCCCGAACAAGCTTGAAGAGAAGAAGGTAAATAAATCGCTACAATTTAATTTTAATTTCCAATACTATTTTATGATACTCATTGACTGATCATTTTTTATCACGATATTAATTGAAACAGGAAAGCAAATTCCTCAAGTTCTTAGGGTTCATGTGGAATCCTTTGTCATGGGTCATGGAGGCTGCAGCTATCATGGCTATTGTCTTGGCCAACGGAGGGGGAAAGCCCCCAGATTGGCAAGATTTCGTTGGAATCACCACATTGCTTATCATCAACTCCACAATCAGTTTCATCGAGGAAAACAATGCAGGCAACGCTGCAGCAGCTCTAATGGCAGGTCTTGCGCCCAAGGCGAAGGTGATAAGGAATGGAAAATGGGATGAAGAAGAAGCCGCCATTCTTGTACCTGGTGACATCATTAGCGTGAAGCTTGGTGACATCATCCCAGCCGATGCTCGTCTCCTTGAAGGAGATCCTTTAAAAATCGATCAATCTGCATTGACTGGTGAATCATTACCAGTCACCAAGCATCCAGGTGATAGCGTCTACTCCGGTTCAACCTGCAAACAGGGTGAGATTGAAGCTGTTGTTATTGCCACCGGAGTTCACACCTTCTTCGGAAAGGCCGCTCACTTAGTCGATAGCACAAATCAAGTCGGCCATTTCCAAAAGGTAAAACTTCTTATCCCTAATTTTGACTCAATCACCATGCCTTTCTTTTAACACTTTGTTGGTATTGATTATTAGGTTTTGACCGCCATTGGTAACTTCTGCATCTGCACAATTGCAATTGGTCTCGTAATCGAAATAGTGGTGATGTACCCAATCCAGAAACGAACTTACAGAAATGGAATCGACAACTTGTTGGTCCTTCTCATCGGAGGAATCCCAATTGCGATGCCAACAGTTTTGTCAGTCACCATGGCCATCGGATCCCACAAGTTGTCGGAGCAAGGCGCTATCACCAAGAGAATGACTGCCATTGAAGAACTGGCAGGGATGGATGTTCTCTGCAGTGACAAAACCGGAACTCTCACTTTGAATAAACTCACAGTCGACAAAACCCTAATTGAGGTCTTCGCAAAGGATTGTGACAAGGATACAGTGATTCTAATGGGTGCAAGAGCTTCAAGAGTCGAGAATCAAGATGCAATCGATGCTTGTATTGTGAACATGCTTGGAGATGCTAAGGAGGCACGTGCAGGGATCACTGAGATTCATTTCCTTCCATTCAATCCAGTTGATAAACGAACAGCAATCACATATATCGATCAAAACGGAAACTGGCACAGAGCCAGCAAAGGTGCACCTGAGCAGATTGTCGAGCTCTGCAACCTAAAAGGCGATGAAAGCAAAAAAGTCTTCAACATCATCGATAAATTCGCCGAACGTGGTCTTCGTTCTCTTGCCGTTTCCCAACAGGTGAGTTTCTTTCTATTTTTCTTTGAAATACTCATAAATTAACGATCTGGATTTTGTTTTTTATAGACCGTACCGGAGAAAAATAAAGAGAGCCCCGGCGGACCATGGGTGTTTGTCGGTCTATTGCCGCTATTTGACCCACCAAGGCACGACAGTGCTGAAACCATCCGCCGTGCCCTCCACCTTGGTGTCAATGTGAAGATGATCACCGGCGATCAGTTAGCCATCGGAAAGGAAACCGGGCGGAGACTTGGAATGGGAACCAACATGTACCCCTCTTCCTCCCTCCTCGGCCAACACAAAGATGCTTCCATGGCTACTATCGCAGTCGAAGAGCTAATCGAGAAGGCCGACGGGTTTGCCGGAGTCTTCCCTGAACATAAGTACGAGATTGTGAAGAAGCTACAAGAGAGGGAACACATCGTCGGGATGACCGGAGACGGTGTGAACGATGCACCTGCCCTAAAACGTGCCGACATCGGTATCGCAGTCGCCGACGCAACCGACGCCGCTCGTGGTGCATCCGACATCGTTTTGACCGAGCCAGGGCTGAGTGTGATTGTGAGCGCGGTGTTGACCAGTCGAGCCATCTTCCAGAGAATGAAAAACTACACAATCTACGCAGTCTCCATCACCATCCGTATCGTTCTAGGTTTCATGCTCATCGCTCTTATCTGGCGTTTTGATTTCTCACCTTTCATGGTTCTCATCATCGCCATCCTCAACGACGGAACCATCATGACTATTTCCAAGGACAAAGTCAAACCTTCCCCGTTGCCGGATTCATGGAAATTGAAAGAAATCTTCGCCACCGGAGTTGTTCTCGGAACCTACATGGCTGTCATGACTGTAATTTTCTTCTGGCTAGCAAAGGAATCCGACTTCTTCACTGTAAGTTACACCAACCAAACCCTAACTAACTATTTACATAAATTCACAATCGTCATTGTTTAATTCTAATTAACTAACATGGCGTTTCAGGAGAAATTTGGTGTTCATCCGATCAAAGATAACGAATTCGAGCTTATGTCAGCGCTTTACCTCCAAGTTAGTATCGTCAGCCAAGCACTCATCTTCGTCACCAGGTCAAGGAGCTGGTCTTTCGTTGAACGTCCCGGGTTTTTACTACTCATTGCCTTTTTCATCGCTCAAATGGTGAGAGTTAATTTGAGATTTTAAATAATTTTTAAAAAATCGATCTAATTAATTTCATTTAATTAAAATTAATGTAGATTGCTACACTCATCGCGGTTTACGCTAAGTGGGATTTCGCAAGAGTGAGTGGAGTCGGGTGGGGATGGGGTGGTGTGATTTGGTTATATAGCATCGTCACCTACTTTCCTTTGGATATTTTGAAATTTATCATTCGATTCGCCTTGAGCGGCAAGGCATGGAACAATATGATCCAAAACAAGACTGCTTTCACCTCCAAGAAGGATTACGGACGTGGCGAAAGGGAAGCACAATGGGCTACAGATCAACGCACAATGCACGGTCTCCAAGCACCCGATGCCACCGAGGTTCTAAAAGGCAAGAGCGACTATAGGGAGTTGTCGGAGCTTGCAGAACAAGCAAAGAGGCGAGCTGAAGTGGCCAGGTAAGATAAGATAAAATACACTGTTTTTTTACTGTTTCTTTTTTCGTACAGTATTAGATAAATTATGTTTAAAAAATAGCTGATATATCTGTATCGACAATGACAACAATGACAGGTTGAGGGAGCTTCATACATTGAAGGGACATGTTGAATCGGTTGTGAAGCTGAAGGGACTTGATATCGAGACGATTCAACAACACTACACGGTTTAAGTGGATGGGAACACATTTTTGGACAAGATAAATAAGAATTAGGAAAACATGATTTTGCAGAAGGTTTGTTTATCGTGGCGGATCGCTATTGAGATGTGCGAATAAGCCAGTAGACGAGAACGGGCTATACCCGATTCGTAGTTGGCAGAACAATGATGTATTCAATTTCATGTTCTTTTTTTGATTATTACATTGTATTTACATATTCCATCTCAATTAATTATTTTCATTGAATATCCGTATTATTATTTATGTTACGATCCAATTCTATGGTTGCAAATAAATAAAACGAAACTATCGATTTAGATTTTGTTTATAATAAAGCTAGCTCGAATGAAAACACATATCGCTAACTAGGTTTTAGTTCAACAAGTTCACTCAAGTTTGAATCAAAAGTCAAAACTATTAAAAAGTACAAAATGCTTGGAAAAAAAGATAACAACTAAGGCCGAGTGGTATACTTACTACGAGGCTGTTCGTGGTTGAGCTGGCCACGAACAACGGGCGTGCACACTACCCTGTTGTTTCGTGGTTGCTCGTTTTTGTTTACTTTCGTGTTCGACACAACGGACTCGCACGACCAATGAAATCGAAGCCCTTTTTTGACCGTTTTCTATAGCCGTTCAACGGCTAGTTTGTTTCAAAAAAAAAATTTAACCAATTTATTTACCTATAAATACAACACTTTTACTCCTTATTTTTTACACCATTCTTTTCTTTCTCTATACGCAAACTACACACTACATCTTCACAACCAAAAACCATGGATCCCAACCAAAATACCCCTCCAAACTACAGAAATCGCAAACCCGATAACGCTTTTGCGTTAGATACAACACCTCGCCAATTCCCGACTATGGAGTCACCTCAAGGCAGTTTTATCAATCTACTTCAAACCGGTTCCTCTATCCAACAAACACCACTTTTCCAACAACAATATCAACATTTTCCATCTTTCCAACAACAACAAATTTCATAACAATACCAACAATTTCAATAATTCCAACAACTACAACAACTCCAACAACAATCGTCACAACAACAACAACCACCAATTTCACAACCACCAAGCTCACAACCACCACTTTCGCCAGATTTTGTTGCTGAAACGCAACATTCACCACCACCTCAACCAAAAAAGAAAAAAGGATATAAACCGGCCCGACCCACTACCACCCAAGAAAAGGCCCCATGGACAAAAGAAGAATAAGAAAAGTTAGCAGAGGCATGGGTGGCGGCTTCCGAAGATCCAATTGTAGGAGATAGTCAGCCTTACGGAAGTTTTTGGGAGAAAGTCTGAGCCATTTTCTACGAGTTAATGGAGAGTGAAACTCGAAATGCCAATCAAATTACGTCGAAATGGCGAGATATTCGACTAAAATGCACCTCCCAAACATACGCAAAAGCGGATCGAACGATTTTGATGTTTTCAAGGCGGCCATGGAGCAATTTGAAAAAACAACGCCAACACGCAAAGCTTTTCCGTATATGAAACTGTGGCTAAAGTTGAAAGACGCTCCAAAATGGAAAGAGCAAACGGAAGGAAGTTCGCAATCTTCCGGTTCAAAGCGTTCAAGAAACCCCGATGGAACCTCCCAACAATCGGACGGCCGAACACACATCGACATCAACGACGATCCGTTAGATCTTGAAAACGACCAACATCTTCCTCGGCCCGTTGGAAGAAATAAAGCAAAAAAGCGGCTTCAACATCTTCGAATTCTAGTATTATGGATATGTTTGGCGATAAATTTGATCGATATGTGCAACTTCAAGAAACGAAGGCCAAGGTGATGACTAGGATGGAGCAAAAAATGATTGAAACACAAACATCATTTTAAGAGGCACAAGCGACGATCCAAACAAAAACCGATATGGAAATCTTAAAAATGAAAGCGGACGACCTCGAGGGAGAAGACTTGGAACTTTTTCAAGCGATGAAAGAGTCGGTTCGAGCCCGACGTAGGCGTATGGGGTAGTTTATTTTATTTATGGTTGGAATTTTTACTTTTTTTTTAATGTTTTTTTATTTTAAGTAATGTAATTTTTATTTTTATTGTTAGTTTTTATTTTTTTTATTTCAATTATTGTAGTTTTTATTTAATGTAATTTGGTCTTTTAATTTAATGGAAAACTAGTATTAAAAAAATGATTTTAATGTATTTTTGAATTAAATTTAAATAAAAGAATGAGGTGAAGTGGTATGTTTAGTGGTAGGTATCTCTTGGTTAGTGGTAGAGAATGTGGTGCTGATGTGTCACCTATGTGGTGGGTATAACGGATGGTCTAACTAAAAGTCTAATCCTTATTTGAACATTTGCAATGAATATGACTACATATTTAGCATCTGTAATTACTATTCCCCCACTCTTTTTATAAAGTCTGTTACGAAAAAGACTTTCTATAAAAAATTTACAAATTTCTTATTGAGTTTGATTTTTTTTTTCAGTTTCCTTAACAACATTTCCTTTTTAACTTGCTAACAATATTTAAGTTTCAAATCATTATTTTTCTTTAGAAAACTTCATAAATGGTCCATGTGTTTTTCAAAAATCTGTCATATAGACTTTAAGTTCAAAAAACCTCGTAGATGGTTTATATGGTTTCAAAACTTTTATTGTTTAGTCCTTATTGTTCACTGCGTCATCTTTTGTCCGTTAATTTTTTTTTTTTTAAATATTCGGAAAATATTTATGTCATTTCACTACTACAAGGATTATTTATGAGGCTTTGGGCATGTTCGGTAAAATCAGCTGGTAGCTTGTAGCTTGTAGCGTTTTGTTAAACGTTACATGAAGTAGCATTTGGATTTGGAGCGTTTTGTTTAAACTAAACGCTAGAAGCGTGTAGTGTTGAACGATGTTTTCTGTTCAAAACGGAGCGTTTTGTCAAACGCTAGAAGCTCTCAAACGTTCCGTGCCGAACACGCCCTTTGTATTATTTAAAAAAAGAAAAGAAAAAATGAAATATATTATTTAATATAATCTCTCTCTCTCTCTATCTCTCTCTCTCTCTCTCTCTCTC